ATCCAAGTTTTACATTGAAATATATAGGAAAAATCTTTAAAAATCTTCTCAAGAACCACTGGACCAGAAAAGCTGAAACTTATGTGGAAGCATCCTGGGGTAGTGTAGATTCTAAATTGTTCAAATCATGACCCTGGGGGGTAGGGCGGGGCCACAATAGGTATTACAATGGGGGAAATCTGGTAAAGAAAGCATGGCCAAAGTTACTCAGGTGAGCGATGTGGCCCATGGACCTCTTGTAGTTTTTTATCTGTCAGTACTGTCTATACCTTTGGAATGAAAGTTATCTATAGAAAGAGAAATATTGTAGTTAAATTTGAGTATTTTTTGAAACATTAAAATTATCTTAATCTGGTTTATTTGCAGTTTAAGAACTGGCGATGGCCACGAGTGAATGCACGAGACAAGTGTCTCCATCTGGTGTTCCTCGTAAACCTCTTGATTATGATTGGTTGCGCTGTGGCCACTATTATGTGTTTTCTCTCAGACAAAGGACAAATTAACAAACTACCGAAAAACAAAGTAGAACTGACTATCGAGGAGATCATTACGCTGGCCTGTGGGGTCACATTCTTTGTGGCCTTCTTCATTGCCATGACGGTGGAGATCAAAGCTCGGCACACACTGTATAAACTGTTCCTCAAATTCGTAACACAGAACACAGACTGGGCTGTAGATGCCTATGATAAAAGCAAGGATCCTGGATATGGTGGTCCAGTTGCCTATGTGTGATTGAGGGACTCACTGTATGGGGTCAGTTTGTGTGTGGGTGAGAGATTTTGAGAGTCATTGGTTAGGGTCACAAAATATGAAAATGATGGGCCTTTCTTATTAGAATTACGGTGTGAAATTGGAAAGGGGAAATGTATAATGAATGTAAATGAGTCACTAGGCAACTGCATTAATTAACACGGGTCATGAAAGTATGAGAGACTGCATTGTATGAGTGGCGCTGTAAGTGGAAAGTGGTTGAACAAATCTCATAAGTCCTCCACTATTTACACACTTAACTTGTGTCTGTGATATGTCTGATGTCCTCCATTGATAATCACCAATTTTTTTCATTTAACTTTCTATTTGTAGTCTTTTGGTTCATGGAACCAAACATCTTGATATTCAATTATTCAAATACTGATAATTGAGGGAAACATTTTTCATCAAGTTTGAAGGAAGACTAGGACTTCTATCATAATACATGTATCTTAGAACTTCCTGCAGATCTTTTATAAATTTGTTGTGCTAACTATTCAACAAATTTTTAGGGGTGACCATTTGATTCTGAGAGGGGGAGGGGTGGTGGTGGCAAATTTTGTTGAGTCATATTATTTATTGTCTTGCCATTGCAGGACAGAATGTTGATTTCCAAGATGACCATGCCGAGACAGATTATTTATTTTCTTCCCTGGAAAAAGTTGATTGGAAAAAGAAAACAGAAATTCTGCCTAATCTCCAAAACTCTATTTCAGGATGGGGGAGAGGGAGGGGGGTCAACCAGTCAAGGTGAGATTATTTGTTTTCTTCCCAGTGGAGGACAGATTATTTTCTTTCAATGTGATCAAAGACAATATTTACTTTCAAAATTTGCCAGTACCTCCCCACTTCAGAATCAAATGGTCATCCCCTAATATCTTCCTCAGTTTTATTGAGTACTCCACATTGGAGTCAATATTGCTACATACTGTGGCATGGACCAGACCACCATGATCCCATATTATCAGTTCCAAACAGAAAATCTGCGTATAACAACAGCTCTTTATAAGTTAAAATCTCAATTTCCAGCCTCTCTTTGAATTGCAGCTGCATCATGGTGCTCTGGTCTCCCTTGTTATGTAAACAGGCTCTTTTCTCTCATGAGGCTCGAGATTTTTAATGAAATTAATTTAACATCAAAGTTTTATAAAGGAGTATTTTATTTTGCTGAATGCAGTGTTATTTGAATGGAGAAGGGTCTGAGTGACAACACACAATTATACCCAGAGTATCTGTAGACAAAAGATTACCATGTGTCTCGCACCATGACGAATTAGAAATACATTTTTGTTCTGAATGGTCTTCTAACATGTCCTAGACTTGATTGTGTATTAATCCAGGAATTTGCATCATTATAATCTAGTAATGTTATAGTAAAATCACCACATTTTTATATTATCAAACATTTTTTCAGCACTTCTTGCAAATTGAATCATTTGTATAATATTCGGGGATTGAATTCCTTTTTCACTTTATCAATTTTTATACTTATCTATTTTTATCAAAAGTAGAAATAGTCGTATAAAATTTGGATTGAGGGGGTTCCCAGAATGATGATACAAGAAGGTAATTGGTGGAGAACTTTTGACAATCCTGAAATGTCTGAATGTGTTTTCTGTATTATAGAATATTTTGCTTTTTGAACACTGGAAAACTTCATTTGGAATCTGTTTTTTTTAAAGTGATATACTGTATGAACAATAGCCAAGATTTTGTACGAGTTTATTTGCAGAATGGCTTACAGTGTAAGTCAAGGAAATGAAGGGGAAGAAAGATTTTTTACTTTTTTGATAAATATTGCTTTATTATTTCTGTATCTTGTTGCTTGTAGTGCTTTATTTTTTCCTTTTTTTAGCCAAACTAAAAGTGCTTGCCTCATTTTAGAACAGTTAGTTAAAATGTTTGGCAGTCTTGGTGCATTTTATTTTAGAATTATTGAAATCAGCCTTCTTGTTTAATTTTGTCTTTTTTCCTTGTTTGTTTACTTTTATGAAAAAAAAATATTTATAGATAATTTGTTTATGGTATTTTAACAAGAGATTGTACAACTGAAACACATTGTTTTATTTAAATACAGTATTAAATGTGCTAATGTCTTTTATCCAAAGACAAGGGTCCATAATGCAAATTTAAAAATAAAGACAATTAGCTTAGAGTTCATTGCTCTATTGATAGCTTTAAGATGTTAGTTTTGTTTTATCACTTAGTTGTTTGATAGCTTTAACAATAGGCATTGCTTCCTCTTTTTATAGTTATGATTTATCATTAGATTGTACTAATTATTAACGTGCACCACATTACACTAATGTACATAAGAAGTTTGCTCAATCCTCCTCCAAAATCCACTTGCTTTCAGGGACTGACTGTCCAGACCTTATGTCACATCACAGGACCAATGATTAAGGCAGGAACTGGGGAAAAAAGTGCCTTTCAAGAAATGTTAATTGTTCATCTGTTTTGGTTAGCTTATAATACTGCAGCCTTAATTAAAGCTACAAGATCACTTAGGTCACGGTAATGCTTATGGGCCCTTATCTTTGTGTCAATGCACTTGATACTGTTACATTTCCAATTTTCCTACTGAGCAGTTTCTAGTATCAGAGAAGAATGCAAAAATACTCAAAACATGCTGAAGATATCTAACTTTGTTCCTTGGATTTTCTAAAACAGGATCTTGGCAAGTGTTCTTGCTACTTTAGTGCAAAATAGACTTCATTGAAATTTAGCATGTTATTATGTTTAAATCAAATATTTAGAATTATATTTGAATTTATTAAGAAAGTATATTGGTAAATTGTGAAATGATCCTCAGCAAATTTTGAGTTACTGTATTTCTGAAATGCACAGTGCAGGTTTTGGTGGCTACATTATTTATGAGGTGTGTCTAGAGGAGTATAATAGAAAAGAGCAACACCAATGGCACTGTTTCACAAACATATTTTGAAAATTATAGTGATAAATGTTTATATTGCTAAAAGACTGACACATTACCACGCAGTGGTAACACATTGTGAGACTGGAGGGCTGTGAAGAGATTTGTATAAATTGGAACTGTGCTTCATATTGTTAATGTTTTCTGTGTTTATAATTCTACCTAAACTTTTGGTGCATTTTTCAGTGTGTTTAATATATAAAATATATATACATGTATATCTGTACAGAAAATTGTAAAATACAAATATTACTGTATAATGTCATTGAAAAGTTTTATAATAAAATAATCCATTGAATATTTTGTTTTCATTTGGTTGAATGGTTGTTGAGAAAGTTGGAGAAAGCTTTCGGTGACTTAGTGGATGGGATTCCATTATTTATGGCATATTGTAACTCTTGTTTGTCAGTCCTGTCTTGTCTGTGCATTATACAAAAAAGACATAAATTATTGAATTAATAACAGGTATATGGCAAAGATTATAACTTCTCAAAACAACTTTAAGGTCAAGGTCGTGAGGTCAAATATCATAATACAATCAGAAAGGTATTGTCACAATGCAGGTGAAAAAAAAGCATACAATCGGAAAAGTCTTGAAACAGGTTATGCACATGTCAAATGAAAATGCCACTTTTTCTCTCAATCAAAAGTTATTAGCAATGTTAAATGTTTTGAAAATTAGGTCAACCTTCAAGGTCATGGAACTGAAAATCATAGTACATTTGAAAATACTTGTCACGGGTAATGCATGTGTCATATATGAATGCCCTATCTTCACTCCTGCAGAAGTTATCAACACATGAAATGCTTGAAAATTAGGGCAAACTTGAAGATCAAGATCACAGGTCAAGCATTGCACATTCAGAAAAATTTTGACACAGGTAATGCACTTGTCAAATATGAATGACCTATCATATGTCATTCAAGACTTATCACCAAAGTTAAAATTTTTGAAAATTAGGTAAAAAATAAAGGTCAAGGGGTCAAAAATCAAAGCATGCTCGGAAACACCTTCTCATTGGTAATGCACATGTCAAATATGAAAGCCTCATCTATTCTCAATGAAAAGTTATAAGCAAAGATAAAAATTTTGAAAAGTTGGTCAAACTCAAAGATCAAGGTCATGGGGTCAAAAACCATAGTATATTTTGAAAGGTATGTCACAAGTAATGCACATGTCAAATATGAAAGCCCTACCTCTTCTCAATAACAAGAGGCCCATGGGCTACAACGCTCACCTGATTAACTTTGGTCCTGCTGTTCTTCACCTGATTTCCTACCTTGTAATACCTATTCTGGCCCCGCCCTACCCCGGGGTCATCATATGAACAATTTAGAATCTACACTACCCCAGGATGCTTCCACATAAGTTTCAGCTTTTCTGGCCCAGTGATTCTTGAGAAGAAGATTTTTCCTGTATATTTCAATGTAAAACTTGGATTCCCTATTGTGGCCCTGCCCTTCCCCCAGCGGTCAAGATTTGAACAATTTAGAATCTACACTTCCCCAGGATGCTTCCACATACGTCTCAGCTATTCTGGCCAGGTGGTTCTTGAGAAGAAGATTTTTCCTATATATTTCAATGTAAAGCTTGGATTCCCTATTGTGGCCCCGCCCTACCCCTGGGGGTCACGATTTGATCAATTTAGAATCTACACTACCCCAGGATGCTTCCACATAAGTGTCAGCTTTTCTGGCGAGGTGGTTCTTGAGAAGAAGATTTTTCCTATATTTCAATGTAGAACTTGGATTCCCTATTGTGGCCCTGCCCTACCCCCGGGGGTCTCGATTTGATCAATTTAGAATCTACACTACCCCAGGATGCTAAGTGTCAGCTTTTCTGGCCCAGTGGTTCTTGAGAAGAAGATTTTTCCTATATATTTCAATATAGAACTTGGATTTCTTATTGTGGCCCCGCCCTACCCCCGGGGTCATGATTTGAACAATTGAGAATCTACATTACCCCAGGATGCTTCCACATAAGTTTCAGCTTTTCTGGCCCAGTGGTTCCTGAGGAGAAGATTTTTAAAGATATTTTCTACATATTTCAATGAAAAACTTGCATTTCCTATTGTGGCCCCACCCTACCCCTGGGGGACATGATTTGAACATTTTACAATCTACACTACCCCAGGATGCTTCCACATTAGTTTCAGCTTTTCTGGCCCAGTGGTTCTTGAGAAGAAGATTTTTTAATGACCCCACCCAATTTTTGTCTTTTCTTGATTATCTCCCCTTTGAATGGGGCTTGGCCCTTTATTTTTACAATTTAAACTCCCCCTGACCCAAGGATGCTTTGTACCAAGTTTGGTTAAAATTGGCCCAGTGGTTATTGAGAAGAAGTTGAAAATGTGAAAAGTTTACAGACGGACGGACGGACAGACAGATGGACGAAGGACAACGGGTGAGCAGAAAAGCTCACTTGAGTTATCAGCTCAGGTGAGCTAAAAAGTTATAAGCAAAGATAACATTTTTGAAAAGTTAGTCATACTTCAAGGTCAAGGTTAAGGGGTCAAAATCATAGTATATTTGGAAAGGTCTTGTTACAGGTAATATATATGTATTATATGAAAGCCCTGTCTTTTCTCATTCAAAAGTTATGACCAATTTAAATTAATGTTAAAAATGTTTTGATAAGTAGGTCAAACTTCAAGGTCAAGGTCATAGAGTCAAAAATCAGTATATTTGGAAAGGTCTTGTCACATGTAATGTACATGTAAAATATGAAAGCCGTATCTCTTCTATGTTAAACTTTGATTGCCCATTGTGGCCCAAACCTACCCCCATTCACCAGGTCATGATTTGAACAAATTTGAGTTTACACTGCCTGTGGATGCTTCCGTATAAATGTAACTGATTATGACTTTGCTGTTCATGGGAAAAAAGATTTTTTTCTTTGTATACCCATGTAAAAATTTGATCTCCCATAGTGACCCCACCCCATTCCCAGGGGTCATGAATTGAACAAACTTGAATCTACACCATTGGGAAGTCCTTACGTATTTAAGTATCTTACCCTTGATATCTTGAACCCTTGGATAATTTTTTTCTTGGTCCCATCGAGTTCGAGACAATAAGGTTTGACTGTATATACTTATCTAAATCTTTGATCCCCCATTGTAGCTCCACCCTACCCCCTGGGGTCATGATTTGAACAAATTCGAATCTACACTACCTCTGGATGCTTTAATATAAATATGACTAACCATGGCTTTCCTATTCTTAAGATGATGATTTTTTTAAAAAGATTTCTTCTATGTTTAAATCCATGTAAAACTTTGATCGCCCATTGTGGCCCCACCCTACCCTTGGGGGTCATGATTTGGATAACCTTGAATATACACTCCTGCGAATGTGATCCATATGACTTATAATGGCTAATGCCTGTTTTTCATCAGAAGAATTTTAAAGATTTTTCCTATGTAAAACTTTGATTGCCCACCATGGCCTCACCCTACTCCCTGGATGTCATGATTTGAACAAACTTGAATCTACACTACATCAAGATTAGCTTTCAAATAAGTTTCATCTTTTCTGGCCAAGTGATTCTTGAAAAGATTTTTAAATGAACCCACCCAATTTTTACTTTTTATCAATTTCCCCTGAGAAAAGGGACTGGCCCTTCATTTGAACATATTTGAATCTCCTTCACCCAAGAATACTCTGGCCAAGTTTGGTTGAAATTGGCTCAGTGGTTCTGGAAAAGAAATGAAATTGTTATAGAAAACTTCATGAGCCTTCTGCTCAGGTGAGCTAATAAAGTAGAGACAGTGGCTTCCTATTAGAAAGTTGTCTCTGCAAGTCCACCTATTGGAAAACACTCTGTGAATTTTCACAGTTCTTGAATTTGCAGTAAACAGGTGTATTTGAGTACCCGTTGCGAAGAATTAAATTATGAGCACACCCCTCAATCCAAGAAATAAAACATGATTTATATTCTTCAAAAAGTTCTATTATAACATGATTGCACACTTCGTATTAAAAGTTGTGCTCTGTAGGAAGTATTGAAAAATGCCTTGAAATTTTGGACATTTTTGAAGAAATTATGTCGACTTGCAGAAAGTTCTAAAGAAAGTCAGTTTTACTATACAGGAATACTGTAAAAAAAAAATTAAAATCTTTCATCATCAGCTGGGTCAGATTTATTTTAAAATGTTATGCAGACATCCCAATGTAGTGTGGATTCTGTTTCTTAAAACAATCAACCCTGGGGAATCTGTCAAGTTTGCATAAAAATATAGTCTAGCTTTAGCTCAACAATTCACTATTTGTAAACTTAACCCCCAAGACTAGATATACTGTCAATCAAAATGATTAAGGACCCTCTATACACTAGATGGAAAGCATTTTTTGGACATTGAGAAAATTAAAGTGTGTAAACATGTAAATATTGAGCTTATCTCTTACATTTTCAACATAGGGTACCTCACATTTACCCCCACTCGGCCAGGAAAAATGTTCAAAGACAATGATTAAGTACTGATGAAAAGAAATCACTATTGTTTACTTAAGTGGGCAAAATAATGACCTAGCTGCAAATGAAGTGTTCAATTTATTCATCATGACCTATTAAAATATTATGAATGTACATGTTGAGTTGATTAACAATTTAAGTAATACACTATATTAGGGCTCTAATTGGCGACCAATTTAGTCGCCTGGATGGCACCTAAAATTTTTGATTGGTGCTTAAAAATTTTCCTTAAGTCGCTAAATTGGCGACCATTTTAAATTGACTTGGATTCCAGAAATTTTAACATTTTTAACAATTTCTCTGAAAAAAACAAAAAGTAATTTATAAGAGGAAATTATTTTAAGCAATGGACATGTCATGTTTTCTTAGTCACGTCATTGTTCCCTATATAGATTACTATTAACTTTTAGTGCCTTAAAAAAATTGCCTGGCGACTAAAAATTTGCATTGGCGCGCCTAAATTCTTTTGATAAGGGGCCAGCTGGTGCCTAAATTTTAAAGGCCACTTAGAGGCCCGTATATTTTTCAATTTATTTTATTCTTAGATCCAAGGGCAGATTACTCTATTTGCATAAAAATACCACAAAATCAGAACTCTTTAGTGTGAAGTGTATAGAGGGCTATAAAGATCCTTGGGCCCTTGTTTGTAATTTTGCTATTACATCAACTTGTTTGTAATTTTGCTATTACATCAACTTGTTTGTAATTTTGCTATTACATCAACTTGTTTGTAATTTTGTTATAACATCAACTTGCTTGTAATTTTGTTATTACATCAACTTGTTTATAGTTTTGTTATTACATAAGCTTGTTTGTAACTTTGTTATTACATCAACTTGTTTGTAATTTTGTTATTACATCAACTTGTTTGTAAATTTGTTAATAAATCAACTTGTTTGTAATTTAATTATCAGCTTGTTTGTAATTAAGTTATCAGCTTGTTTTTAATTTAGTTATTACATCAGCTTGTTTGTAATTTTGTTATTACATCAACTTGTTTGTAATTTTGTTATTACATCAACTTGTTTGTAATTTTGTTATCAGCTTGTTTGTAATTTAGTTATTGCATCAGCTTGTTTGTAATTTTGTTATTACATCAGCTTGGTTTTGAATTGGATCGCTGAGAGGACAGGATTTTCAAATTTCCTATCACATATAGTGGACTAGTGGCTTAAAAAAAATTTATCCCTAAAATTCAGAGGTTTTAACATGTATACTGTAGATTCTCCTTAATTTTTGTGAGTACTTAATATTGTGAAATGGCTCATTAAAGTCAAATTGCGAGAACAGTATGTCCCTTGAAGACGGTTGATCGGGACATTTTACATGGATTTCAGCACCATAAAAAATAAGAGCGAGTAATTTCATTTTGCAAGTGGTGCTTCTTGCAAAATTTTGCGATAATTAATTCCTTGCATATATTTAGGAATGTACAGTATTTATTCATATACTGAAAGGAAAAAGAAATGCAGGGTAAAGTTTTAAAGTGATTTAATTTTATTTTATAAACGAATTTTCCAATTTTGTTTTCTATCATTTAAACTCATCTTTAATCAACAATTATACCCAAATCTCATTGAGTTTGATTATTCATGAGTTTTAAACTCATATGATGGTACCCCCAAAAGTGAAAATCGAAAATTCTCATTATCTCCTATGCCTCCCTCACACATCTGTAACAGTTTTGATTCTCCTCTGCAAAGAAAAAAATCATCAGCACATTTATTTTTCTCATAGAGATATTATTCAACCTTTCTGACAAGGCAGCCCTTAGTTGGTCAAGAGTAGCTTAGGCATTCGGACGCCTTCAAACCCTACCATCCAGATAGTGCCACAAATGTTCGATTGGAGAAAAAGATGGACTTTACGGAGGCTAGTCGATTGGGCTAATGTGATTGTTTGTGGGAAAGTCTTGACAAATCTAGCTACATTAGGCCGTGGTTAACATATGCTGAAAAATTAAGCATACAACACACTCGTGCATGAGAGGAACACCGACGTTAACAAGCTGCCAAACCAAATTTTTGCAAGCAGGTTCTTTCAGTTTTTGGGTGAATGTAATGCTTTGATTGCCTACTGTATTAATTTAATTTGAACTTATTTTATTGTATAATACATATAAAAGGATTGGATACAAGTTCTTTCAACTTAATAAATCCTCTCCATGTGATACAAATAATAAATACAATATGATTGTCATAAAAAATAAATTGAGATAATTTGCAAAAAATCATGTTATACATGTAACATATATGAAAATTATAAAGACACATACTCTGAGTAATCTATCAGAGCTCTAATATTACATATACACTGCATTAATAGCGGTTTTAGTGGTAGTATGGTGGCAATTACACAGGTGGCAGGATTAATAGCCCAATCTTAACGTGGCATCACACGTTAACGTCATCACAGCTGCTTAGAAACCCTTCCAGTTCTCTGATGACGGATTAGACGTTCTATGGTGGAAAAATTCAAATTTTGCACATTATGTTACCCTGTGTTTCTTTTTCCTTTCAGTATATGGTTTCTAGATTGGGATACTTTCATTGTACATATGTACATTGTATATCAAACATATGGCAATTCTTCCCAACTGATAGAAATTTCATTTTAGGTCATCACTCTATAAATTTTCAGACAAAAGGCTGCTGATTTTTCTAGTTTATGATGTTTTATTGGTAATTTACCGGTATTCAAACACATACTTTCTCTTCATAAATTGTACAACTTTCATGCAAATTACTGTATATCCTTTACAAAAAATTCATATTCAGTCAAATCAACTGAGAATGAAATTATTCACGTTTGAGAGGTATAATGCTACAGAATTATGAAACAGTTTGATATGTTATTGTACATACAGGTATTTTTTGAAATTTTCATTTTCCTTGTAACTTCTTGCTATATTTTGAGCCTATTCAGTTCAAAGTATTATATATTTTTTAATTTCCCTTATGAAAAGACCATAAGAAAAATACAGAAAACCTGTAGAATTGAAAATGTACAGAAATACCATAGAAAGGAAAAAGGCTAATAAAAACTGATGTTGTCAGTGTCCAGTGTAGCTATATTAAAACCTGTACTGACGTCACATAATGTTCTTGTGTTAAAACTCAAATACATAAAAACATCCAAATATTCATAAATTAACAAATTTAAAGACACAGTTTAAAAAACAATGCATGATCAGCAAAAATCAGTTCCTGATCATAAATGGTATCTTGAGTTTATATCACAGTTACGACCCAAATTCAGTTGTCTCTGAAGTAATATCTCCAAATTCATATGTTCCACGTCCATCCATTTTCAAATAATACTGAAAGAAAAAAAAAGATTTTCAATGAATACAGTATATGTATTTACTTCATGAAATGACCACATGGATTTTTAAGTGCATTAATTCTAACAAATTTTGAAGTTTAGCTTCAATTCTTCATTTGTCAGTTGTTAACAAATCAAAGTCAGAATATGTGTTTAAGGTTCACTGATCTGATGATAAGGAAGACAACTCTAACTGGGATTAATGATCATTACTCCCTTAAAAAAAATGTCAACAGGTGATACAAAAACTCTAATTAGGATCAATGATCATTACTCCCTTTAAAAAAATTGTCAGCAGATGACATGTGTTGAATTCTGCATGGCAAGGTACATGTATGCTGAAATTGATTTGTATTTCAAATACAATCTACACTGCCTTTGCAAAAACATTATCAATGAAGCAAAATTTTATACAAGTGAAAGAAACAATGAACTTCCAGGACAGTTTATCCTCTGATAGACTAAAATGGATTTTTTTCTGTAAAAATGATACACTTTATAAACAAAAGTTGGTTACTGTCCAGGTAAACATTTGAAACAAATCATTGTTGCAGATGAAAATAATTATTGATTATAAATTCTAACCTCATGATGCTTCCATAGTGACTTCCTGTGTGAAACTGTGAACAAAGTAATTCCCACCTGCAATAAGATCATTTACATGTATGTCACAACTGATAAAAATATAGTGCTAAAGACATTCTGTCAATGGACAGCAAAAATAATGGACCTCCTAAACTGTATTCAGAAAAGTTTTTAGAAGGAATGCCACACAAGAATTTTATTTAATAGATCTTTTATTAATAGCAAATTTTAAACCATAAAGCATCTTATTTGCTAATAAAACATTTTTTTTTCATTTTCTCTGGAAAAAAAAAAAAAAAAAAAAAAAAAAAAATTAAGAGCTTAAATTGGTCTTTCATTGCTGAAACCATAGCTTAAAAGGGAAGTCTTAAGGATCTATGAAATAAAATTTTGGTGTGGTATTCCTCCTTTAGATTTTTTTTTGAATCTCCACTTTTCTCAGGTACATGTACTTGAGTGTACTCTACCATGGCATTAAGAAAGTTTGTTATGGCCTTTGCTTGAAAGAATTTATACATCAACTATATTTAGAATATTTTCATTTATAATTGCTGAATTGTAGCCAATAATGAATTGTTCTTCAAATGAACTTCAATTTTTAAGGAAACCCTGACTTTGGGGCCATGAATTTCACAATTTCAGAAGAGCTAGGCATCCTTGCTCAACATAACCATGCACTTACTTTGTTTGCTAAATACTCTGGGACAGAGACGAAGACTTTTTAAAGAATATATGCATTTTCACTTTATAATCAATAGAGCCCCGCAGTAAAACCAGAACCCCTGACCCAGGGGCCATGCACTTCACAATTTTGGAAGATGCATCCTTGTTCATCATAATATATCATGCATTTACTTTGATGGCTTAACACCCAGGGGTAGAGAAAAGGTTTTAAAGAATTTATGCATTTTTACTACACAATCAATACAGCCTCACCCTACATGTAACACCAGAACCCCTGACCCAGGGGCCATGAAATTCACAATTTTGGAAGAGGTATTCATGCTCATTATAATAATGCACTTAGTTTATCTGCTTAATACCCAGAACAGAGAAGACTTTCAAAGAAATAATGCATTTTCACTATATAGTCAATAGAGCCCCACCCCCACCCACCCCACCAGACTCGAACTCCTGACCCTGGGGCCATGAATTTCACAACTTTGGAAGAGGCATCCTTGCTCAACATAACCATTTGCTTAATTTGTTTGCAGAATACCCAGAGCAAAGAAGATTTTCAAAGAAATAATGCATTTTTACTATAGCATCAATGCAGCCCAATCCCCCAAAGACCAGAACCCCTGGCCCTGGGGCAATGAATTTCATAATTTTGAAAGAGGCATTCTTGCTCAGCATAACCATATACATGCTTTGTTTGCTAAATACATAGGGGCAGAGAAGATTTTTAAAGAAATTATGCACTTTCACTATATGATCTATAAAGCCCCACCCTAGCACCAGAACCCCTGACCCTGGGACCATGAATTTCAAAATTCAAAATTAGCTCCATCCTTCAAGCCCAGGGGGGCAGTGTAGCAACCTCTAATGATAAAACGCCGCTTAATGATACAAATATCATTAAGCGTTGCAATTGCAACGCTTAATGCCATAAATTATTGCATTAATAGCTGACATTCTCAACCGCTAATGCTAAATCGCCGCTTAATGATAGAATTATATCATTAAGCGTCACAAATGCAGAGCAACACTGACGCTTAATGAAACAAGCAAATATCGACATAAGCGACGACTAATGATACACACTAGTGTATCATTAAGCGTTGCAGTTGCAACCTTTAATGATAAAAAAAAAATCACCCCCACCCCCCAATCCGGGATCCCCTCCCCCTTCTGATAAAACTGGATACTTTGGATCTTATACATTTCAAATCTAGTGAATTTTCTTGTAATTTTCATCGTTCTTTGGCATATCTAATGTATTTTCAAAATAAAATTTACAGTTTAAATACTTCGAGTATGTTTAGAATGTATAGTTTTGGAAAATATAATTAATATATTTTACTGCTGAGAAAGGAGTTTGAATTTAAATTAAGAAATGTACTCTCAGGACAAGATCGTAAAATGAAATATATACCAGTGAATCAACAAATACTTTGCATCAAGAATATGTATGTTTAATGTGCTACAGAAGAATGAACATCGGGATCGATCCTACAGTGGTGACAGGTCACGGTGCAGTGGTCTGTTTAAAAGAACATAGGCGATGCACATGGACATATACTTTACAATATACCTTTTCCGCTGATAATTTTCCCAAGATAAATGAATTAATTTAAATGCATAGAATAAGTACCATCAGATACTTTTTACTTTATCGCAAAATAATGAATGAGTATGAAAACAATAATTTAATATGTACTTTTTTAATCTGTGTAAAAAGTGTTCAAAAAAACATAAAAGAAATAGTTTACAATCATATTTTATAAAGATGTCATGTTCTAAATCTTGAATTTACTACGTGGGAGTAAATACAACATTACAACATGACAACAGCTGTCGTGTTCTAAATTTTATATTTACATGTACTCCCATACGGTAAATTTAAATTTAACTCCTCCATGGCACCTGAACCCACCTCTGATGTTTGGAGGTCCGTGTTTGCTCTGCTCCTACTTTGTATTGTTTGATGGACTTTTGAGCCTAAATACTGTTCGTTATCTTCATATATTTTATGTCAGAGAAAGGATTTAAAAAGAAATCGCGATCGCAACTTCTCGGGCCTTTCCGACTAGCGGAAAAAACAACCTCGAATGTATTACGTAGACGCCATGACAACCCCCCTTTTCACAAACTTTGAAATAAATGTTTGAAGACTTCTTATCTGTGGAGCATGGAGTTTAAGTTTATTGAATGTAAAGATATTACCTAAAATATACCACAGAATAAACAGGAAGATGTATAAATTTTTAACATCCGGTGATGTTAATACATTCGGGATTGTTTTTCCGACCTCTGACGGAAAGATCCTAGAAGATTCGATTGTTTTTCCGACCTCTGACAGATTTCATTGAAAGAAAGCGCTATAATCGAGCCTAACCCGATGTAAATTAAATGATCCCGACTGGAAATACATTCAATAATATCAATTTCACAATAAAAAAGACTGTTTGGTTGCAATATATTTACAAACAATTTTAACTGATTGAGCAAGTTGATTTCTCCTTGTTAACTGCATCAGAATGACAAACTTGCTGTTTTAATTTTGAGTTGATTTTATCGGGTTAATTTCATTCGAGATTAGTGCAAACTTGAACCTTACAATTTTTCTCAAATTTTGCAATTCAAATCAAGCTGAAAAAAGATTTTCCAACATTTGTTTTGTATATGTAAAAAAAAACACCTTCATTTAATGTCTTCTTTTATATTATAAAATGTGAAGGGAAATAATTTATCGCATTTCAGAAAACTATCGAACAATCATACTCTTTTCGAATGTAGCATGCTTAGATTTGCATGATATACTAGTATATCTTTTTTTTTGTCGGATGGCAGTAAAAATCAAAACAAGCGAGTTTATTGGTCTGTAGAAACGACTATAAAGGGTAAGGACGTGGATAAAATATACAGATTGGTTAAAAATGTGTCTAGAATTAGGCAGTGTAAGGTATTTGATTGACCAGTGCTGGAAAGTGGAGAAATTCTCCCCAACCGTGCGCAGAAAATCTTGCGCCGTAAATTGCGCATTATTTTCATAAAAGGATCTGTAGCGTCATGGTTAAAGACTACAATATAAAAGCAAAACGCTACAGTTCTGCAGATACCACAAATACTGAAATTTAAATACATGTGCTAAGATGATGCCATAATTCATTATACTCGCCTATAAGTAGGCTTTTTGGGTGTCGAATTTTGAACAAAAGTCTAGGTCCGACTGATAGGCGAGTCCTAGAAAATTTAAAATTTTTCTTTACTTTTCTTTTGCTACAGATTCTAACAAAATACCACCGACTTATAAGTGGGTCAATGACTAATTCTTCTGAATTTACCTGAAAAAATACAACCGACTTATAAGCGGAATCGACTTACAGGCGAGTATAAATGGTATACCGAAATTGATCTTATTTACTGACAATTGCAGTAGAAACAGACTGAAATCTTTCTAGTTACGAATAAAATTAACGAGGTTTGAATAATATAAGAAATAATTGTTTCTAATTATTTCGAATTCATTATAGTACAATTCTTTGATATGCTTGGACTTTCGGTATATAAGGCGTGCCATTCTCGGCGCCACATTAGATCCTAGATCGATTCCCCTTGGTCACTAGCTCATCTGATTCAATACATATAAAGTAGCACAAATGCAAGTAAATAAAGAAACACAGAAGTGTTTGAACATTTTCTGTGTGATGTCTAGTTGGCAAAAATAAGCACGAGTTAGAGTTCTTATTGCAATGACATTTATTTAATTTTCATTTTTTTATCGATATCAATAAACAATACCTCGCATGGAAATACTTACTTTAGGACCCTGGGTAGCACATGTAAATTTGGATGATAAAAAAAAATTACCTAGGTTGCATATAAGGCAAGTCTGTGGCAAAATTTATAAAGTAAGGGGGAGGGCCTCCAAAAAAGGAGAATAAAAAAATCCCTAATCTTCCCCAAGACCTTAAAGAAATATTTAACTTAACCAACACTATATAAAATATTTCGAAGATAACATTTTAAATAATAACCCCCACCCCAACCCCATCCCGACACATACACACTTCGTCTCATTACTTCTCCTAAAATTGAACACTTCCATTAAACTACAGCGTAGTCTGATCGGCATTTTTTTTTTTTTTTTTTTTTTTTTTTTTTTGAATTTTGACGAGAAAGTCGGTGATGTTACATTGGACGACAAACTGAAATTTAGACAGTTTTTTTCACGGCTGACGTCAAATAGCGCGGACATGCTTTTTTTTTTAAACTTTGGCCCCGGGGGAGGGGGTTAAATTATTTCTCTCTGTTCTGAAATTCCTTCATCTTGAGATTTTAACAATATTTTCTTTTAAGATTGATTTCAACCAAAGTATATTATTTCAAATGAC